GTAAGTTTAATTTTAGTTATGTTTTCTAGGTTTGACTTTAAGTCCATTTACTAGTTCATGACACATTGTTTTTTAAGGAATCAAATTAGTAAACGTAATCTAGTTGATAATAATCTGGGATAGTATAGCTTGTAATCTAGTTTTTACTGCAGTCTGTTGTCTAGTGTAAAGTTTAGTCTAATCTATAATCTAGTCTAGTGTATAGTCTAATCTATAATCTAGTCTATAGTTTAGTCTAGTCTATAGTCTAATCTATAATCTAGTCTATAGTTTAGTCTAGTCTATAGTCTAGTCTATAGTCTAATCTATAATATAGTCTATAGTTTATTCTAGTCTATAGTCTAGTCTATAGTCTAGTCTATAGTCTAGTCTATAGTCTAGTCTATAGTCTAGTCTATAGTCTAGTCTATAGTCTAGTCTATAGTCTAGTCTATAGTCTAGTCTATAGTCTAGTCTATAGTCTAGTCTAGTCTAGTCTATAGTCTAGTCTATAGTCTAGTCTATAGTCTAGTCTATAGTCTAGTCTATAGTCTAGTCTATAGTCTAGTCTATAGTCTAGTCTATAGTCTAGTCTATAGTCTAGTCTATAGTCTAGTCTATAGTCTAGTCTATAGTCTAGTCTATAGTCTAGTCTATAGTCTAGTCTATAGTCTAGTCTATAGTCTAGTCTATAGTCTAGTCTATAGTCTAGTCTATAGTCTAGTCTATAGTCTAGTCTATAGTCTAGTCTATAGTCTAGTCTATAGTCTAGTCTATAGTCTAGTCTATAGTCTAGTCTAGTCTATAGTCTAGTCTATAGTCTAGTCTAGTCTAGTCTAGTCTATAGTCTAGTCTATAGTCTAGTCTAGTAGTCTATAGTCTAGTCTATAGTCTAGTCTATAGTCTAGTCTATAGTCTAGTCTATAGTCTAGTCTATAGTCTAGTCTATAGTCTAGTCTATAGTCTAGTCTATAGTCTAGTCTATAGTCTAGTCTATAGTCTAGTCTATAGTCTAGTCTATAGTCCTAGTCTATAGTCTAGTCTATAGTCTAGTCTATAGTCTAGTCTATAGTCTAGTCTATAGTCTAGTCTATAGTAACTAGTCTATAGTCCTAGTCTATAGTCTAGTCTATAGTCTAGTCTATAGTCTAGTCTATAGTCTAGTCTATAGTCTAGTCTATAGTCTAGTCTATAGTCTAGTCTATAGTCTAGTCTATAGTCTAGTCTATAGTCTAGTCTAGTCTATAGTCTAGTCTAGTCTATAGTCCTAGTCTATAGTCTAGTCTAGTCTATAGTCTAGTCTAGTCTATAGTCTAGTAGTCTAGTCTATAGTCTAGTCTAGTCTATAGTCTAGTCTATAGTCTAGTCTATAGTCTAGTCTATAGTCTAGTCTATAGTCTAGTCTATAGTCTAGTCTATAGTCTAGTCTATAGTCCTAGTCTATAGTCTAGTCTATAGTCTAGTCTATAGTCTAGTCTATAGTCTAGTCTATAGTCTAGTCTATAGTCTAGTCTATAGTCTAGATCTATAGTCTAGTCTAAGTCTAGTCTAGTCTATAGTCTAGTCTAGTCTATAGTCTAGTCTAGTCTATAGTCTAGTCTAGTCTATAGTCTAGTCTAGTCTATAGTCCTAGTCTAGTCTATTCTAGTCTAGTCTATAGTCTAGTCTATAGTCTAGTCTATAGTCTAGTCTATAGTCTAGTCTATAGTCTAGTCTATAGTCTAGTCTATAGTCTAGTCTATAGTCTAGTCTATAGTCTAGTCTATAGTCTAGTCTATAGTCTAGTCTATAGTCTAGTCTATAGTCTAGTCTATAGTCTAGTCTATAGTCTAGTCTATAGTCTAGTCTATAGTCTAGTCTATAGTCTAGTCTATAGTCTAGTCTAGTCTAGTCTAGTCTAGTCTATAGTCTAGTCTATAGTCTAGTCTAGTCTATAGTCTAGTCTATAGTCTAGTCTAGTCTATAGTCTAGTCTATAGTCTAGTCTATAGTCTAGTCTATAGTCTAGTCCATAGTCTAGTCTAGTCTATAGTCTAGTCTAGTCTATAGTCAAGTCTATAGTCTAGTCTATAGTCCAGTCTATAGTCTAGTCTATAGTCTAGTCTATAGTCTAGTCTATAGTCTAGTCTATAGTCTAGTCTATAGTCTAGTCTATAGTCTAGTCTATAGTCTAGTCTATAGTCTAGTCTATAGTCTAGTCTATAGTCTAGTCTATAGTCTAGTCTATAGTCTAGGCTATAGTCTAGTCTATAGTATAGTCTATAGTCTAGTCTATAGTCTAGGCTATAGTCTAGTCTATAGTATAGTCTATAGTCTAGTCTATAGTCTAGTCTATAGTCTAATCTATATTCTAGTCTATAGACTAATCTGTAGTCTAGTCTATAGTCTAGTTTATAGTCTAGTCTATAGTGTAGTCTATAGACTATTTTATAGTTTAGTCTAGTCTATAGTATAGTCTATAATCTAGACTATAGTCTAGTCTATAGTCATAGAATGTTATACCACATCGCAACCACTGTCTTGCTCACTGTTTAAAAACTTATATATTTCCTGGCAACATTTTAAAGCAACCACTTAATCATCCTTTAATGGGGTTTTTGTTTCTGTGTCTTCCAACAACAACAACTTTTTTATAAGTATGTATGTATAGCATGGATCTCATACAAAACGGCGTCTTTGGTAATTGGAATGCAGTCTCAAAGGAGACTTAACTTTAATGTTACAGCTAGAGACATAAGCATACATACATCTTAGCGAAAATACATACACATAATGTTATAAACATGACCGTAATAATTTCCTTGTTCAACCTATGTTTTTGACCAAAGTTTACCTGTTATTATCTTTCTGCTTCCGGTTAGCAGGGACAGCAGAAATGGACATCAATGATGTCGTTAACATTTTGTGCTAAAGGTTTTCATACTACATATTTAGTAATGAACAAAAATCTTGATTATCTGGTTATAGAAAAAAAGAACTTGTTTGTTTCCTCGGTCAAGTTGTTTTTTTTTTTCCTGCCTCCTCTTTTTAGAGTTCCTGTTTAAATTCCATTATGTTATTGGAATAAAACCTTTTATGTCTTATAAACATGTGGACATCTTTGGGAGTAGTGTGTGTTAAGGATTTTGTTGCTTTTTACTCAAGCATGTAATAAAAGTTATTTTCTTTATTTTCTATTTTTATTGACAACATTTTAAAGATTGAGGCTTGACTTTATTGTTGCAAAAGGTTTTTCTTTTGCGTAAATAACTTTTATATGAGAACATTCTTGTTTTTTTGTTGATTGTCTTGTTTTAGACAAATTTAAAATTAATTGAATTTTGGGTCCTTTTTTGCCATAAAAATCAATGTGCCATATACACACATAAGATATGAGTACATGTGTTACATTTTAGATAAAAATTTACTAAAATATTTTTTATTCACAATTAACATAATGTTAGAAATTTGCCATTATTTAAATGGCACAAATATTTAAATACATAGATACATAGATGCGTATACGTAATATTATTGTTTATTTTAATTTTATAAAACGTATACGTATTGAATTGAGTTCACAATAAGATGAATAATATCAAAGTTCTAAGCGTTAGATATCTTAAAGATAAAATAATATATAACTGCACTTTAACTTTTATTTTAAAGTCGATAGATGAAATTTCCAGATGACATTAAAGATTTTATATATAAAGGTGACTTCGCGCTGCTTTAAGCTCGCAAATATGGCAACAAGCGTTTTTATTACAAATTTTATGACATGATATCTCTAATGTTAGACAAGTTCTTAGTCTAGATTTAGATTTGTCACAGCTCAATCTATTAGAATAACAAATGGTTACCATACGAAATAAAGTCAAAAGATTTTGAAAGACGATGGAAGCCAATATTGGCCTGAATATGCCCAGAATATTCCGCTATGTTGCAATACCTGTTAGAAACTATTTAGAATGAAGTTGTTGGAAAGTTTTTCTTCAGCCGTTTTTTAGTACCAACCTTACCCTTGTCCGACTACTTGTTTCGATCTCTAGGGTACGCTTCGTTAGGTTAACTTTCTTGAGTTACATTCCTTTATACTTAGCCCAATTATCAACAAATCTTCCCCGGGAGTTTTTTCCCTGGAAGTTTATGACTCAGAATAAGCCTGTATATTTCTGTGTTTTCACTATAGAACCCCAGGCTCCTTTTTTCCCGTAGGTTGGAACCATCAGTGCAGCAGCGAATGTGTACAGATATCTCCGACTTTTGGCAAATTTGCCTAATGTTAAGAGCCGTCTTATGTATGTTTCTATCGGAGGAATATCCAGCAACGTTTCCAGAGCCTTCGTTGACGTACTGCTCATAGACCCACTCATAACCTAGTGACATCCACCAGATTATTGAGGCATTGCAGTGATCTAATCACGCAACGGTATATACTAATGAGACTAAGACCCCATTTCGATCCCATAGTTCTACTACATAACGCCCAGCACCGATGTACCGTGGGTATCATCTTGCCAGGAGTTAGGTTTCATTGTACTCAGGAATTTTCGTATCTTTTCTGAAGATTAACATTTAGCCCTCTTAACTGAGCTCAGCTTAAGACCGATTCCAGGGACTTCTTCCATTTTCGGTTTCAAGAGGCTATTAATCGTGATTACCCAGAGTAAAGGAAACAAAATGGCACTCTGTGGTGTTCCTTGAATATCCTTTTCCTGATAATTATATCGTACATCTCGCAGCTTATCCATCTACTCTTTAGAATGTAGTTGATATAGTTACGGAGCGTCCGGTCAACATTATATTGGTTTACGGATTAGATTATCAGTGTATATGTTACTGATGGAGCCATCAAATGTTTACCAACTTATACATTTATATAGTAGACAACTTCACTACACTGATCTACCCTCTACATAAGCATGTTGCTTATATCTGAGGTATTTGTCTGATACTTTGCCTTTGATCATGTTCTCGACTGTCTTTCAAACTTCAAATTTTCTCATATTTTTTTAATAAAACACACAATATTTAATACTTTTTTTTTGTTAAACACTGGGGACTTTATAGAGATTTCTTTATTATATGTATATATATTTTTTTCGTTAAGTTTTTCTTGCATTTTTAAAAAAACAAAACGTATTTTTTTAATTTTTATATAAAAACTACAATAATTATTATTACATTATTTGTAAAATAAACAAACAAATTGATATTGTTTAACTATTATCAAATTCAGACCAATTGTTAAATTGTGCAATTCAACACATTACACATTTTATATGTTTTATGTTAAATGCACTTTATTTTCAATATTACAATTAAATGTTTTGATTTCAATTGTTTTTATTTTTTATATTATTTTGTTAATTATTTGTTTGTTTTTGTTCAGAGTTTCAGTTGAATAGGTTAATAAAGTTAAAACTTAATTGTTGGTTTGGTGAATTAAATGGTTAGTAAACTAAACAACAATAATAGTAGAATAAAACAAGTAAAATATATGAAAAAAATGGTAATAATAAAAGTTAAAAAATGTTTAAATTAAAAAAAAAAAATGTGCTATGACACTTGATTGTTCGAAAAATATTAAGATTATTTTGTTTTGTAAATAAATACTGCTTTAAACGCGCACTATAAAATGCTTTGGGCAACTTTAATTGGACAGACCATAAAGGAAAATGTTAAATATTTTGTTTCTTAATTGCAAATAATAAATTGTGCCGCTAAAATTTTAATACAAACTAAACACTTTAATTTTATATTTAAAACTTGGATTTTTTTTTTCATCAAGGAAAGTAAAAAGTATTTGAGAGAGGGAAAAAAAGAAGAACATTTATAAATGAACTTTAAGAGATTCCATACGACCAACAATACGACGTCGCAATTCCGCATATCTAAAAAAATTAACAAACAGTTTTATTAGAATTTAAATGTTTTTTTTTAACTTTAATTAACATACTTTTCTCTAACTTTGGTAACTTCTCGATCTAATTCTTGATCATAACGTTCAAGTATAGCACGACATTCTGGCAATGATAAATTCAAAAATTGTGCAACTTCATTGCTAAAAAAAAGAATAAAGAAAGATTTTAATAAAATTGAAATATTTTTATTATTGTTTAACGTATTACCTTATTTCATCAGTTTTCTTGGCATCGACTAAAAATAATTTGGCTACATCTTCATGGGGTCCCATCATAATACGTGTTATTAGGGGATATTCATTGTCCTTGAGACGTTTTTGTTCACCATTGTCTCTTATAATGAAGAGTGAAAAATTCTCTACTGCACTATCTACCCGATATTTTTCCAATAACAAATTTATAACCTCTTGTGTGGTCACCAGTGATGTTACCCAAACGGACATTTGTGAACCATAGGGTGGCGTAAAGAATGAAGTTTCACGATTATAAAAGTGACCATTAATAGAACAACGTCGTTTTAGTTTGGTACGGGATCTGCAAAGAAAATGTATTTTTATAAGTGGTAAATCTATCAAAAAGTAAATATTTGATTAATACACCAGTTTATCATTCAACCCCATAGTAGGATCTGATTAGTTTTATTAATTCCCCAAAAATTACTTTTCTTTTTTAAAATTTAAAAAAGATCACGTTTTGTTCGATTGAAACCACCAAAAACTATGCAATTTTACTTTTAGTTTGAAGTAGCAAAATACAAAAATATCTTCACATCCGATTGGAATAGAATTCTGTCCCTGAAAGGGGATTATTCTATAAAAGCACTAGATTTGAAAGGTTCGTCATCTTGTGCAACATTCGAGAACATGTTCTGATACCAGTAATAATTCCAAAAGATTCGTATATTTTTATCATATATTAAATAGGACGTCAACTAAATGGTTTTTTGACCGTAATATCAGCCCCTATGTTCACACATTGATCATGTGCTCAAAATATACCTCTATTCTAATACATTTTTAGATTTAATATCTCAGCCGTATGTGATCATAAATCCCACATGATTGTTTCATTATTTTCCAATTGAGATTTAAAACATCATAAAAGAAAAAACTTTACCTTCTATTACCACTTCGTCTCTTTATGGCTGCCGCTCCTGTACGAGGTGGTCTTCTCAATACTACACCATCCTCTGTAATATGCAACGGTTGTTCATCATTATCTAAATGATGCGTATTGCTGTTCATATTGTGATGAGCACCACCTGATGTTGCTGTATACAAAGACTCCGTCTGAGTCAATTCATCGCCGGCCGCAGCACCACTTTGTGATGTTGTTGATTGTACATTATCCTGGCGGCTGGAGTCACAATCACTGGTACCTTCTTTGGGATAACAATTCATTTTGATTTGTATAAATTTTGGTGGTATATCACTTTTACGTATAGTAGCCGAAATATGCTGATCATCTCCTGCTGTGCCATCTCGCCTTAGACGTGGTTTTAAAGTCGAATCATCATCGTCATCACTGGAGGAGTAGACGACACAAGAAGGTCCCGATTTGGAGCGATTTATACCCTTTTCGAAACGACCATTTGTAACCATTAATTGCGCCTGCGCAGAACCACTTTTCTGTAAAGCATAGGGTGAACGTTTTAGAGGCGAACCACCCTCATTGAATTTTAATGATAAAGTATCATTTATAAAAGTAGCATCTATAGAACGCAGAGCATGTTCGCAATTAAAACTTTTACTCATGGGATTGTCGGCAGCATTGTACAGCTTAAGGGAATCGTGTATACGTGAAGGATCTATAGGTTGATTGCGCTTAAGAGTATCATCATTGTGTTCCTGGAAAGAATTGGCACCATTGACGTAGTCTTGGTGGACGCTACGTTTAAAGTCTTCAAAATCCATGGGTTTCAAAGTGGCATCATCGGAGGTTTCGTAATTATCTACGGTAGTGGTTGAAGTGGTGGTATTGGCATTTGTGCTGCTATCAGCCGTAGTAGTCGTATTCAATGAGGCAGTGGCTGTAAGAAAATTATCGGAAGAAGTTGTTGTTGTAGTGGAGGAGGAGGAAGAACTAGCCAGTGATGTGGTGGTGGAGGAGGAAGAAGTTTTCGAGGGTGAAGCCTCTTCGATATTTGTTGAATCGGTGCTATTTTGATTCGACATTGTTTTAGAACTTTCGGAAGTAGGGGTTGAAGATGAAGAGTTTTGAGGCGAAGCCGAGGGCAGACGTACTGGCATAGTTTCATAAACTTTATCTTTTTCACTGACACGTCTTTCCACCTGCAACAGATCATCAATTTCATCCCAATCTAACTTTTCCAATTTGTCCAATTTCGAGGGCAATGTGGAACTAACACAATTGTTAGTGTTATTGTTTGTGGTTGTTGTTGTTGATGTGATATTCGATGTTGACTGCTCTTCACACAAAGTGGTGGTAGTAGAAGAAGAATCTTCTTCATGTTTACCATTCGTAAGGGTTTCTGTTACACTGGAACCCGTAGTTTGAGCCGAAGCATCTTCGGGTGTTGTAGGCAATTCTGGATATTCATTCAAACTGCATGAATCAAAAGTCATACTCTCACTTAACGAAACGTCTGTGGAAATGGCATCTACTTGATCGCTTGTTGTGGTAGCAGCCTCAAATGATTCAGTACCATCATTGTTTTCTTTGTCAGAAGCATCCTGTTGAAACGAGAGATTATAAATTATTTCCCTTTTAGTATTTTTTTAACTTTTAAAGACAAACTTACATTATCAGCTTTTGATACACGACATGAATTACGTTTACGCACTACAAATGTACGCTGATCATCATCTTCCTTCAAATGTATAACACCTTGCACGCCCCAGTAGACACGCAAAGCTCCTTCGAGTATTAAACGATTGTTAACTTCTCGGCTTCTCACTTCCATACTTTTATTGTCATAGAATTGATTGTAAACCTAAGGGTATGATAAATTCTAGTATTATTCCTTTTAAGGGTAAAGGTATGCAACTGTAGGTTTATTTTGGCAACTGTTATCGCTTACAGTAGTAGTCCGTAATCTAGTCTATAGTATGGTTCAGAGTTTAATCTATAGTATAAACTAGACTATAGTCTAGAGTATATTGTAGTCTATAGTATAGTCAATAGTCTGGTATGTAGTCTAGTTTATAGTCCACTATATAGCCTAGTCTATATATAGTCCACTCAATTGCTTTGTATATAGTCCATTACCTATTATTGTCTTGGCTATAGGTCATAGAGTAGACTAGTCTATACAATATACTGGTATATAAAGTAAAAGTACATAATAGTTTCAAGTACAAACTAGAGATGGGTTGAAATCACATCTGACCTCAATTCACATCACGTTTTTGAGATATCTTAGCATAAAGTTTGAAACCCCCGGCTTCTTATCTATAGGCTCCAAATTAAAGATTTAACCGCTATTATATCCAGATTCTTCATTTAAGAAATTCTGAGGTCAGACTCTGATTAATCGTAGATGTGTAATTGAATGAAAATTATTTCAAAAAAATTACCTTTAATTTAGACTCCAAATGATCTCTGGGTAAAGAGGGACCGTTCTGTTGACCGGGTCTATTAAAAGCAGTTTTGTTGCCAAAACTTTTATGAGATTCCACACGTGTACCATGGCCAAATAGTTGGGGTCCAAAAAGAGCACCATAACATGGCACATGACAATAAGGCACACCTTTATGCTAAAAAAAAAAACATTTTAAATAAATTCCATAATTTTCTACTTAGACCAGCACTAACCTCTGCATGTTGTCCGGGATTTAAACGTTTGCCACATTCTTCACATCTCAAACACTCGGGATGCCAGTCATAACCCAAGGACTGTTTGCGTTCCGCTTAAATTATTATAATAAACAAAAATAACAATAAATTAAACTATAACTAGGAAAAAAAGTGAGGTTAATATTCTTTGTAGTACTTACCAAAGTAGACGGGTTTACCGCACTTGTGACACTTCCACATATTAAAGGTTTACTAGAGAAATAGCAAAAACCTCTCCCTATTAATATGTGTTTGCTATTAGCAATTGCACAGACAACTCACTTACACTTCAGTTTAATGACCCCCGCCACTGCTCTTTTCTTTAAATTATTACAAAAATCAAAATTATATAAATTTGATTTTTTTTTTCTTTTTTTAATATTTTATATTTTAATTAAAAGGTAATTGAACTTAAATGGCCTAAAAACGAAAATACGTTTGCCAGTAGTAAAGAATAAGGGCCAACTTTTACAAGTTTTCCGAAACAAAGAACTCAAACTAAAAACAAGCAATTTTTCTCGGCTGAAACACACACTCAAGTCTCACATAATCCTTTTCTTTTTATGTTTTTCCTCTGTTTATCTTTCAATTTTCCATAATTATGAATTCTAGAATTTTTTTCTTTTAATTTGTTGTTGTTTTTTTATATTTAATGTTTCATTACTGCGTACGTGTTTTGTTTATTAAATCAATTTTTTTCACATCAATTTATAATTTATGCATCTCTATTAAATCTGATATTTTTTATTTATTCAACTATACGCCTCCTTTTTTTGTTAATTTGTTCTCTGTATTTTGTCTATTCGTTGTTTTTTCTCTTTTGTGTTTCGTCTATTTGTGCACCTGTTTTTTTTTCCACTCTCTCTATTAAGTTTTGTTTATTTTAATTGTTCAATTATTAATAACTTGTAATATTAAACTTTGTAAATTAATAATTGTGGTTTATTTGTTTGTACGATTATTTCTAAATGCCGTGTTCAACGTCCGCTTTAAAAGAGAATGTAGAAAAAACACAGAAAATTGCAATTTTCGCGTAAAATTAGAACCACGGTGCATTTATAAGGTGAAGTCAATTCAACGGCTGATTGTTATTTTTTTTTATGAAAGTTGTATACAACTGTCAAAATGTACCATTTCGAGTTGCCAGATGCACAAAAAAATAATTTATTTACATAGGGATTAATTCAATTCTCACGATACTAAAATAATAAAAATTTATAACTAAACGATTAATTGTAGTAATAAAAACAAATTTTCCATGCAATGAAACAAGAGTATTATAAGAATATAATATGTATTATATTCTAATATTATACTTTTTTTTGGCAATTGTAATTGATTACATACATATGTAATATAATTAAAAAAGAAAATTTTCTGATGTATTATAAATTAAAATTGTATTATAATGCCTTCTTCATGATAATAAATTGTATATTTGTAGCAAATTCACTAATACGGCCAAATTCGGCAAACGGCCCTATCTAACATTTTCAAAATTTTACAGGAGAAGCAAAAAACTATTGAAATTAAACAAGTAAGAGTGTTATATTCGGCTATGCCGAATCTTATATACCCACCATCAAACCTCGTTTGACTCGAATGAAACTTAATTATGTTGAATTTCATCTATATATTCGTATTTTTAGGCCAGTTATAAGCGTTAAAGTAATTTTCTGAAGGGGACCTTATATAGGGGGGTAGGGTCAATTATGGGTCGATCCTCATAAAATTTGGTAGAATTTGGTTCGTATAAAATTTATTTGTGTCGAATTTCATCGCTATACTCGTATTTTTAAGTCATTAATGAGCGTTGCAGTCATTTTCTGAAGGGGACCTTATATGGGGGGTAGGGTCAATCATGGACCGATCAACATAAAATTTTTTAGATAGATTTTGACTCGTATGAAACTTACTTATGTCGAATTTCATCTATATACTAGAATTTTTAAGCCAGTAATGAGCGTTAAAGTCATTTTCTGAAGGAGACCTTATATGGGGGGTAGGGTCAATTATGGACCGATCCTCATAAAATTTTTCATAGTGATTTTGGATCATAAGAAACTTACTTGTGTCGAATTTCATCGCTATATTCGTATTTTTAAACAAGTTATGGCTGTTAAAGCTGCTTTTCGAGGGGCCACTTGTATGGGGGCTATCCGAAAACGTGGACCTATATTGCCCATTTTCAATACCAAACAAACCTTACCTATAAGAAATATTTCAACTCTCTAGCTCTTTCCATTCGGACTCTATCGTGCTTTCAACAGACAGACAGACGGACGGACAGACAGACGGACAGACATGGCTAGATCGTCTTAGAATTTAATGAGGACCCAGAATATATATACTTTTGTGGGTCTATGACCAATATTTCTTTTTTGATGGTGGGTATAAAAAGTAAATAAACAAATTCTTTAATAGTGAAACCTATCATTTGTTATGATAGTTGACAATGGCGTATATAGAAAGAGATAAATGTTTTTGTAGATAGGCCATTTTGTTTCTTGTCAATTAAATCGCTAATTTTGGAGGAGGAACCCAATTTTTTGTGTGGATATTTTTTTTTTTTTGATGAAATACATTATAATCAACAATAAAATCTATTTTGCATTTTTCGTTAGTTAGGGCCGTTTGCGTTTCAGGTGACTATATACACATATTTTAAAATTTTTAGTTTTAATATACATATGTATGTATATTTGTTTGATATAGAGACATTTTGGGCATGAGGTATTTTCTTTATTTACGGTATTAATTAAACAGACCACTATGGCAACATATACACTTTTTGACATAAGTATACAACTTTTGTTGCTTTTGTAGAATTGACTTCACCTTATTATTCCATCATGATTACAACTTGTAACGAAGACCTGCGGCGACAAATATTAACAATGACGGCGTCTGAAAGATTTCAGCTGTGTTTTAACATTTTTCGTCATTAAAAGCAATGCAGTAAAAGTATTCATTCCTTAATTCTTATTTTTATTTTTTTTTTTTAATTTAAGTACATCATGTACATTGATAATTTAATTTTAAAAAAGAAAAAAATCTAAATCTCTGAAACACTTTGCATGCTGTTACATTTTTTATTATTTATAATCACATTTTCTAAAAAAGGCCCACACTATTTGAGTTTTTTGATATACTCAAAAAAAGATTTTAACAGATTTATTAAATAAGTGTGTTTTTGCACTATTATAACGTCTCAAATGCTTAAAATGGGATCTTAATAAAACGGTATATCGAAAAACTGTTGTGGTGGAATTCAAATTTTCACATAGAAATATTTAAAGTAAATAATTAAGTCACATATAATTTGAACGAAATATTTTTTTTTTATTTTTAAATATTCAAACACCACAACAGTTTTCGTTTTATATAATTTTTTTAAATCTATTTTTTAGCTGATTAATAAATAAGTTCTTAATAATTACATCATTATATGCCTAAGTTCATAAGGTTTTCATTTATATATAAAAATTTTTCGTTTTTGTTTTAGCTATGTATGTATATAATAAATAAGTTCTTAATAAGTACAACATTATATGCATAATAAGGTTTTCATTGATATATAAAACTTTATGATAGCATTGGAACATAGAACAAATATTTCAATTTTACTAAAATACAATTTTATAAAATGTATTTACTGTCGCGCTTGATTTTAAAATTTGTTTTTTATTACAGTTAATAATGTTGTAATAATCACATTTCCATTAACGATGGCATCACTTGAAAAAATCGCTACAATTCCCAATAACATCAAAAATATTTTCTACCTTCAATTTGTTTATAAAATCGCAAAATTTCATCACAAAATAGCTAAATTACCAACACTTTTCTAGTTGCTGTTTATTTCTTGATTCGCTCTGTCGTTGTTTTTTGTGCAAAAATAAGTCAGCGATTTCTTTTTTTACATATAATTTTCCCAAAGTAATTTTAAGAAATTTATCAAGTTTCTAACAATGAATAAAAATATTGATTATAAAATGTATGGCAAACATATATAAAGTGTTAAAATATCATAGAAAGTGTTAATTAAATGATGATGAAATAGAGAAAATCTTTGTGGAGCAAGAAAAACGAAAGGTTCAATAAAATACGTGTTAAACTACGAAAAAGTGAATCAAAGAAGAGAGTGTATAAAACAGCCAACAACAAAGGCAAAAGCATTTCATTAAGAAGAGGATACAAAAAAGTGTAAAAAAATAAAAAGGAACGAAAGGATATTTAAGCGCAACAGCTGAAAATTATAATAAAAAAACTAATGTAAAGGAATCTGCTGCAACCTAAGGCTGGTGGTTTTTAGTTAAATACTTATAGTTGTACATTAAGCACGCTTTTTTTTCGGAGATTAAAAAGTAGAATAGTATAATTATAAATTTTCCAAGAAAGGTGTTAAACGAATTTGTGTGTCTTTTTGGTGTAAACAAAAAAGTGGCAGAAATATGAAAACTACTATTGAGTTTGAGGAATGTCTCAAGGATTCACCAAAGTTTAGGTAATTGTTTAACACTTAACGACTATTTTTCAACATGTTAAAAGTTTAAAGGGTTGATGTGATGATGCTATTAAAAATTATGATTAATTAAGAGAACTTTATCAATTGCAAACTTTCAGCTGCTTGCTAGTCAGTCTTCATCCAGTTAAGTAGACAGACTCAGTTAAAGCAACGCCCCTATTGTTTCGCTTATATGCTTATATGCTCTACATAATGAAAATCGTGTAATTTGTTTTAGCTGATGTTTGTAACGCAGTAGACCATTTGATTAAGTATCGATATTATTCAAAAAGAAACAGAAATACAATTTGCTAGAGAACTCTCCAAAAGTAGCTTTAATAATTTTGTCACAAGAACTGTTCCTATACAAATTTTCATCAGAAGGAACCAAAAAAAGCAAACTTCCGAAAATCAATTTATCTTGCATACCTATGTTCAAATAGATTCTACCCAAGTAATAATTATGATATAGCATTCTTCAAATATAAATCTATAAGATCAATTTTATTTCATTGTAGCCAAACATAAAGTCGTACTTAACTAGCTGCACTTCTTTATTGTCTTACTTTTTAACATTATAAATATTTTTTCAATGTGGTTTGTTTGCAATCAAACAAATCGTTTGCAAATAATACATAACAATCACCATACACGTTTTCTATTGATATTATTTTTGCAGTCCATTATTTTTTAATAGTTTTTTAACTGAAAATTGATATGTTATTAAATATTGAATTACATAAATAAATGATAGATTTGATGAACTGCATTATAATTAAATTAGGAAGTTGTTAATTTTTTTCTATAAAACTTTAAGATTTTTAGTGGCAATTCTCATAATAAAATATTTTTATCATTTATTTTTTTTTTTTTTTAGTAAAACTATAAATTTTTACTTAAAACACGAATCTAAAGGAAACCACATTTTTTACTAGAAACTAATTTTATAGTTGAATCATGATTAAAACCTAATTTTTAATTGCTTAAATGGGGAGGATCAGTTGTCACAATGGTACTACTAGGACCGACGTGTGCTTCCTTTTAGCAGTCTGTAAATAGATGTATATATTGAAAAAACCTTTCGTTCGTAGTTCATGAACATAATTTCCTGAGGGATGTAGTATCTGGTATAACATCATTTCCAAGATAAGAACTTATCAATTACTTCTAGTTTTTATCAATCAATCATTAATGTTTTGAAAGAAACTTTTAGTTAAAAGTCAATAAGTTTACAAAAACAAGAAATAAATTATAGTCGGGCTTGGCCGAACAATGTTGAATTGTACCTTATTTCACACATATTGATGAAAAAATTAAATTTCTGAAAGAAAGAGATTTAAAAGTAGTTTATGTCGAATATGATTATGATACTAGTGATATTGCATAAATATCTACTATTTAGGCTTATAAAAAGTGCAGAGTTTTGAAGAACTGCATGATCATCTATTTAAAAAAATATGAGCAACAATATGTTAGGATGTGTAACTGAAATAAAAAACTATGGATCGTATATATACAAAATTACGAACTACTCTTTGATTACAAGAGTCGGCAGACGGACGATCATTGCTTAATCGCCTCAGAATTTACCAAAATCTGACAACTTCCTGGAGAAATGGACATGCCTGTTTTACAGTGCATACAAATTCTTTTTACATCGGCATACAAATTCCCGATTGACATTAAATCGGAACTCTGGGCAGGCCTCTAAATTACAGCGGCTCCATTATCCAGAATCCAGTTTTTGAGTGTGTTATGTGGGCCTTTATATTATTACATGAGCAAAATCGGTGGAATGTCATAAGATACATTCGACAGTATAATTTGCATAAGGATTTCAATGTATTCCCAATCGGAATTTCCGATGCTTCCCTTACAGTTACTATATGGGTAATGGGTGCTATATCATAGAACGGAAAGCATCAAAATACCGTATTATTAAAACCGCCATATTTTTGGTCTTTTAGAATATTTTTTGAGTTTGGTGGGCTTCTTACGTAATATCGAGAAACCTTTTTAAAAAATAAAATAAAATTTTGGACCTCTCTGCTCAAATAGCATTGTCCCAATTTACAACTTGCTAATCTAAATGAGTTTTAACATACTCTAACACTGTTATTTCATTCTTGTTATCAAGATTAAAAATGTGTTTTTATAGTCACCTGGATATAAATTCAATAGAATGTGTAAAAATATTGAAGGAAAATAACGTAATTGAAAAATGAAAATTGAACTGCTAATTGGTTCTATTATTTTGACGGTAACTGTATGTGTTGGTTAAAAATTCAGCTACAAATTTTTAACCTTACTTATAAAATAATCGATTAAATTAAAAGATCTAAGCTCATCTTCAAACTAAAAACCGTTTATTACTATGTATTATGTTTTTGTCTCTAATGAATTAAAAAAAATATTCTGCTCAAAAAAATAATTCCATTAAATAATTAACACTTTAATACTCTCTTTTTAAATTTAAACATTATTTATTATATGAATATAATGTTATGTATTTCTTTGTATAATAATTTGCAAAAATTATTAATTTTTTTTCTCGCGCTACTTTTCACTATAAAAGTTAAGCATTTTATAAAAAATAGTCATACTTTTTTCATTGTTGTTGATAAATCATAAAGTCATTGTCAACAATTTTAGAACTTTACAAAATATTATTCATAAAAAATATATTTCATTTTAGCTATAATGCTTCAATAGTAGTAAACTTTTTAAAGGAAACATTTTCACATTTAACATTAAAGTCATATATATAATTAACATAATTAACAGATTTTAGTTAATGCAAACAACTATTCATATGCATTATTATTTTTTAGAAATTTGCTAAAATATCTATAGTAAATATCTTTTAATAGTCGGTTAAAATCAATATTTTATTTTAAAAATAAAACACAATTGTAAAGAAATTATATACATATGTATGTATTAAGTATTAATATGTATAATGCAAATTTAATTTACTGTACAGTAGGTAATTTTTATGCATTTGTTTATTACATATAAAATTTCTCTACTTTATACATTTGTATTTTTTCTTTACTTTATTCTTCTTTTTCTCATAATTAATTATAATGGCCATACGATTGACCATAGAAATATACATACAATAGTCTTATTGATTGTTTATATTTATACGCTTTTACACCCTCAACAATTTTTAATTCATAAGTATTTTTAACATTTACTTATACATATGTACATACGTTTGTATATGTATTTAATATTTAATTGTATTTATGCCAATGCTCATAGATAATTATGTTAATTTTTTTATAATTGTGTCATAAACATATTTGGCTTGTTTAACTCATTATATATTCCATATTATGTGTTAAATAATAAATATTTGTTTAAATTAATAAATTAATATTAACATTTCTTTCTAATTGATGATTAACTTTTTAAAACAATTTAAATTAAATGTTATTTAATAATTTTAACTTAGAAACAATTTGAAAAGCTTTGACTAGACATGATTCCTTAAAATAGTTGTTAATTTTTAGAAACAGAACCATAAATTTTTAGAACGGATATTACCTTTTTATTACTTATTATAAATGCAATAACGAATACTAGAATTAACTAGAATAAATATTAGGGACACACTTGGGTCCAATCGTTGATCATCACCAAGGGATCAACGATTGCAAAGAAGAAAGCGGTCAGCGTATTAATTAGTATACACTTCGACCCAATTACTTTGGATTCCTATTCAAACCAGCTTGTCGCACGAATAAAGAATTACATAATTCAGATGTCAGCATCTGATAGATCAGTCTTATAGCATGGAGTCCAAAGGTCCAGTGGCCAGCCACCACAGTAGTTTGTCATACTTTTTCGAGTAATATTCACTACTCTGCGTTTCGATTACGTTTCCGCATTCAGTTACGCTACTATTGAAAATAGGTATTCCAACAAAAACGGAATCGTAAGAAAAAGAAGAAGCAATTCCATTTTATTTCAATGCTTTAAAATTGTGTGTATTCTGCATTGCGATCGTAGCTACGTTTTTGTAAGTTGTTATTTTAGTGACAGATCGTCAAACCAAATTACAGAATACCAAATTTTCTAAACGGGGAAAATTTCGATTCGGAATAAAATGCAGAATAGGGGTGATTGTCAGATTCGTATCTAAATATGAAATGTTGATCATCTTCAAGAGAAGATCAAAATGCTGTGAATCAGACAAAATAACCAATTGGTGTCCGGGCCGTCCCTGTTATCTAGGAAGTTGTCTTTAATAAATGTTCTGAAAACATAATGAGATCCAACCAGTTGCTTCAGCGAGCACAACTGTTCGATATTACATTTATCAGATATCATAAAATTAAGGTCTTATTAATACTATTTCCTTCCTTTGCTAATACCTCAAGAGAATGGTTCATTACTCTGTAAACCGTTGACCTTCATAAATATATTTTTTATTGTTTCAGTAATTTTACTGCACAATTTCTACAGCACAGTCAATGGAGAGATAAATTGAATATTGGTTTTCTGATTAGATCAAAATCAGTAGAAATTGTGCAAAATATTCAACAATTTAAGTCAAACTCTACAACTGAATTTCTTTTTAAGGAAATTTTATGAATTTAACAAATTTGTATATCACTATTTTAAAAACTTAAATATTTATTATATTTTAAATGTAAATATATATTTTGCAAGACTCTTCTCCAACGTTATCTAATATACATACAAGCATATAATTTTTTACTTGTTTTGACTCAATTCAGCATAAATTTAAATCTATAATTATTTTCAAAATGTAAACAAAAATAACAAATCTTTAAAAGACTACGACGACGACATAGATGACGACAAAGCATGAACTCAATGAAGTGACAGTGAAAACATAAACTAACAAAAAATAAATAAATAAAATAATAATAATAAACAAACTTAAGAGGGAGATTTGTTTGTCTCGACAGAATTTCATATAAAGACGACATATTTGTATTTATTTACATATCGCTCATTTACTACAATACTGGTATAATTCAAAAGTTATTAATTCGAGAATAATGACTTTAAATGCTTTATGATAGTTTAAATTCTTAAAAAAAACTTTTTAAAAAATCATCGGATTCCAAAAAATAAAACGGATATATATATAAGACCTGTACATAAAGAAATTAAACCTTTTTAAAGGTTCATAAGTGACAAAGTACTTGTATAATGTTGACTTTAAATTATATGATTGATTAAGTACTCAGTGCAAAAATCCAAAATTTTGACTTATGCCAGTCTTATAGTAAATGAGTGATATATATTGAAGTGTTTAAAAAACATTTAGCCAATAATACGTTTGAATAGATTACGAAATTTTTTGTTGTAAACAATTTTTAAAGAAAATTAAAAGAGTGACAAAAAACAACATAATTGGACAATGGACATCCAACTGTTTTTTTATTATATCCAAAATCACTCTATGTTCTAGTATTTTTTGATTTTGAGATTTTGACCATGACATTTAAAGGCCAGCTAGCTGAGAAACAAATGACAAGTTGTAGAATATAGAAAATAAAAAAAAATCATACATATGTTTGCATAAATACAAGACATCCTGACTTTTATAAAGTATAAAATCAATTAAAAAAGGGTACGTCTTTCTTCTTTCTTACATTCTTCTCTCGAGTCAATAAAGAAAGACAAAGCGAAAGCAATGAAATATTGTTTGTACGCTTTATAAATTACTTGATGTCTGTTTTATTTACATATGAATGCATTCTTATATTGATAAACAATTCTATTAAAGATAATTGTTATGATACATTTTAATACAATTTTTTTTTTTCGTTATTGTTTTACTTTGTTTACCTACACCCAGACAATTCATCTCAAAAGAGGAAGCAGATATTGAACATTTGGAAACACGTCTTGAAAAAATCATTAAACTTTGTAATATAGCAGTTGATTCGGGCAAAGAATATGTTAAAAATCAAAGGTAAGCAAGTTTATTTATATTTTTTCATTATTTTCATTTATTTTTATTAACACTTAATTATTTCATTTTTGTTTAAAGAGTAGATTTTTTATTTATTCGAGTAAATAAAGATGTTAGTTGGGGAATAATATAGCATTCAATCGAAGGTTTTCCACTCGAATTACAGAAAAGCCGAAGTGACTAGATCAAGGCTTAGGTCCTATTAAAATAAACACTATTAATGTACATAGACTACATTTATCCTGTCCAATAAGTATCTTGGTTAATTTGGAACAATTCATTTCCATTAAAACTTTCATAGTTATAATCCATCGTAATGTACCAGAATCGTGCCATAATAGTGACAAATAAGAGGCATTTAAACCTTTTCTTGCCCAAGAGATTCAGATTCCAAAATAATTATGATATGAGTTCAGAATCTGCACTATTGCCTTACTTTCAAGTTCGTCCTTCTCTCATTTCACTGCATTTTGTAGGGTCCTAGTGCCCAACACAGTCTTACTATACCATGTAGAGAAACTTTACATTCTATGCTTGAATGACATATAAATATTCTGAGTGCAGCCTGACATCATAACTTGTTAGGACAGACTCCAAATCGTTATGATTCCATATCATTTCTGTCACTTTCTACATCGCTACGATATATGCTTGAATGATACTACATTTGTCAGGTAGTCTGAAGTACATTTTTATGTCCCTGTCAGCAATATAGACCTCAGCACCCATGTCAGTAACCATCTTGCATTCTTCTGTAAATAGTGAACATACTTCGAACAACTAATCATACCTTCATTGAAACTCTGGACTTAAGATTCTTAGCTATTACATTATCTACGTACTAACTAGGGAACAAATACAGTAAGATATATAGTTCTGTTGTCGTGTACATCTTACAGCAGCTGTAATGCCTAGAGTGGAACAACTTTTTGTGTTTCTATACCTGTTCGTTCTCTGGATATATTATCTCTAACATTTGCTATTATAGTATAAATATGCTACGAAATCAAAGAACTTTTCGTTTTTATCCATACTATTTTAAATCAGTCTAATATCCATACTTTTAACTAAAGCATATAAAAATAATAAACACATGTTATTTGTTTGAATCAATTTAATTATATACATTCAAATCTTTTTTCTCTCTTCTCTAATATAGTGCTTTTGCAATGTCCCTTTGGGATTTGCAACAACATTTTGCTGATAATAAAAGTGCTCACAACGCATTGGGAAAACTGATACACTGTTTTCAGGTTTGTTGCAAATGTAGAAAAATAAATCAAATAAGAAATGGTTTCATTTTCAATTGTTATTATTTTATATAAATATAATGTACATAAATACATAATAAATGTCTTATCGTATTTATTTTTTTTTTCTTTTTTGCAAAATAAAATAAAAAACAACAATTTTTATTTCATTATAGGAAATGAATAAATTTCACACCATTTTATTGGATCAAGCCAATCGTACGGTTTTGAAAAATCTCGCTGTTTTTGTTAAAGACGACATCAATCAAGTGAAAGACTACAAAGGACATTTCCTTAAAGTTTCCGAAGGTTATGACAATGCTTTAATTAAAAATGCCCAAGTAAGTTAATTGAAAAACTATAAAACAACTAAATTTTCTATTAATAGCTTAAATATCAAATTACCTTTTATCTATCAACTAAGGTGTATTTAAAAGACAAAGGTTTAATCATTTAGTTATTTTTATACCAACATTACTATATGGTTTCATGATAAATACTTACATATACATATGTATATACATATTTATAATTGTTTAATGTTTTTTTTTGTTTATTTTTCACTTGCAGGCGAGTAAAAATCGTACACAGGAAGTACAAGAAGCCGCCAACATATTATCTGCTTCTAAATCTTGCTTTCATCACACAGCATTAGACTATGTTAACTATATCACTTTAGTTCAGTCCCGTAAAGTACCTTCAATATTGTCGACGGTAAGTACATACAAATATACATACATATATTTACGTTTGTTTTGTTGTTGTTAGTTTTATACCCTAAGGTATAAAATCATATATTAAGTAGAAAGGCACAAGATACATTTTCAAGCGTGCATACATATATATTTATATATTTACCTAAATCGATGTGTCTGTGATGTTTAGTCAACTAACCAGAAGGGAGGATATCCTACTTGTATTATAAATATTTACATGAATATGTACTTGCATATAACTTTAAAGATGCCAGCATGCCTGTTTATATTAATAGCATAAAAAAATTCTATAAACTGAAATGGGAACAAACAAAAGAGGTAGTCACGATAGTCTGCAAAAGATATATCCACGAAATATAAATGTACATATAGTGTAAGATATTTGACTACGGTTTTACCTTCGTCCACACAAAAACCATATGACAACTGTCAATCAACAAGTTAACATAATTAACAGTGTTGATTTAATGGTTTTTACACGCATAAACAAAGTGAGAGTGTTTATATAAATTTCTGATAGATAGATAGATAGATAGATAGATAGATAGATAGATAGATAGATAGATAGATAGATAGATAGATAGGTAGGTAGATAGATAGATAGATAGATAGATAGATAGATAGATAGATAGATAGATAGATAGATAGATAGATAGATAGATAGATAGATAGATAGATAGATAGATAGATAGATAGATAGATAGATAGATAGGTAGATAGATAGATAGATAGATAGATAGATAGATAGATAGATAGATAGATAGATAGATAGATAGATAGATAGATAGATAGATAGATAGATAGATAGATAGATAGATAGATAGATAGATAGATAGATAGATAGATAGATAGATAGATAGATAGATAGATAGATAGATAGATAGATAGATAGATAGATAGATAGATAGATAGATAGATAGATAGATAGATGATAGATAGATAGATAGATAGATAGATAGATAGATAGATAGATAGATAGATAGATATAGATAGATAGATAGATAGATAGATAGATAGATAGATAGATAGATAGATAGATATAGATAGATAGATAGATAGATAGATAGATAGATAGATAGATACAGTAGTTTTCCGATTTAACGAACCCATATGTTGTCAGGCCTGTTCGTAAAATTGAAATGTTCGTTATATGCAGTACTAACTAAAATGTGGGTTTTTGGTAGGAAAATAATTAAAAATAGGTACATAAAATATTTTTTAAATGTATAAAAATTAAAATTAATTAAAAATTAATTATTTTTTTTATAAAAATAGCACCAAAACACAAAATTCCGAATCTTATATATTTTTAATTCAGTCATGAGCGTTTAAGTTATTTCTCGAAGTTCATATCTATATTCGTATTTTTAAGCGAGTAATGAGCGTTGAAATAATTTTCTTAAGGGGGCCTGATATGGAGGGTAAGGTCAATTATGGACAGATTCCCATAAAATTTGTTAGAGATTTCGGTTAGTATAGAACATGTTTGTATCGAATTTCATCGGCGTATTGTTAAGTGAGTAATGGGCGTTAAAGTCATTATCTGAAGGACGGACATAGCTACATCGAACTAAAATTTAATAAGAACCCAGAATGTGTTACAGTTTTGGGTATAAAAGCACCGCTTAAAACAACGGTATAGTTTTTTGCTACAAATAAGGTTATTTGTTATTTTTGATATATGTCATTTTATCTTCATTTAAATAATAATATTTTTATTAGTTCGTTAAACAGAGTACAAAAAACAAGTTTTGTTCGTTATTTAAGGTAGTTAATAGGAAAAATTTGCTTGTTCGTTAAATGCGATGTTCGTAGAATTGAATGGTCGTTAAATCGGAAAACTACTGTAGATAGATAGATAGATAGATAGATAGATAGATAGATAGATAGATAGATAGATAGATAGATAGATAGATAGATATAGATAGATAGATAGATAGATAGATAGATAGATAGATAGATAGATAGATAGATAGATAGATAGATAGATAGATAGATAGATAGATAGATAGATAGATAGATAGATAGATAGATAGATAGATAGATAGATAGATAGATAGATAGATAGATAGATAGATAGATAGATAGATAGATAGATAGATAGATAGATAGATAGATAGATAGATATAGATAGATAGATAGATAGATAGATAGATAGATAGATAGATAGATAGATAGATAGATAGATAGATAGATAGATAGATAGATAGATAGATAGATAGATAGATAGATAGATAGATAGATAGATAGATAGATAGATAGATAGATAGATAGATAGATAGATAGATAGATAGATAGATAGATAGATAGATAGATAGATAGATAGATAGATAGATAGATAGATAGATAGATAGATAGATAGATAGATAAGATAGATAGATAGATAGATAGATAGATAGATAGATAGATAGATAGATAGATCTTGCTTTATAAACATTTAAAAATTTTGCATAAATTTCATCAACTTTTCTATACAAAAGTAGCCTTTAGTTTAAATTTTAATTTTTAAAGAAAATAAAATTTAAATTTTATAAACTTCTCTTTAGAGCAGTTTATAAAATAATTCTAAAGAAAATATTTTTAATTTTTACCAATGCATCACTTTCTCCTACTTTTCTATATAAAAATATGTTTCAATTTCAAAAACTTTTTTACGTTAAGATTGCAATACTAGAATAAACATGTTTAAATGAATTTAATATTCCTTTCATAAACATAAATCACTTTTAAAGTAACACATTGAAATGTATTTAAAATAAAATTATTTCTACATTATATAAATCCTTTTTCTTTGCTTTCAGAAATAAAAACACTAAAGACTGACTAAAAGAGAAAATAAAATACTCATTGTATCTGATTGCAAAAATCTTTAAAAAATTATTTCTATATGGGTAAAAGAAAATAAATTGACCTAAAAAGTAAATATATACAGCTGGGAAGATTATAGTAAATTTCTATAGATTTAAAATGTTAACACGATAATGTTTATATTTTTGTTCTCTCAGACAGAATCTTTTTTTTTCTAGTTATTTTAGTTACTATAAGCCTGTTTAACCAAGCGTTAATTTAAGTAGATATTTGTTTGCAAAAGCAAAACAACACGATTCATAACATTGGTATTTTTTAATTGTATTCCCAATTGTGTTTATTATAATCTATTATTACATGTAGATATTAAAGCCGGAGTTTGTTGTTATTTCGCAAATCTGCTGTTGTTATTGAGATATACTCATATTTGTTTACAAATAATTTAAATTAATTTTTGTTCTATTTTATAGCTTTTGTTTAACATTAAAGTGAATCATGTGAATAATTATTTAGAAGTTTATTTAAAAAAGAGAAAATACGACAAGTTGTGATGTTAAAAAGAAGAATTTATTTCAAAATTTCAAAGTGAAAATCATGTTGTTTATTATTTTAAGTGTTAAAAAAGCACTTAAGATTTGTTTTATGTTCAGCTTATCTAATTTAAATCAAAAACTTAAATAGTGAGTTTGAATTGATTTGAAATTTTAAACTTCAACTTTAAAAAGCTACTACAAACAATGCTCTTTCTTGGAATTAGTAATAGAATGAGATGTTATTATCTTAAAAAAAAAAACAATCTCAGTAAACATTTTAGTTTTTCTTAATCTATTCAACTAATAAGCAGTTTATTTGATTGCTTTTACAAATTCTAAACATTAACGAATGTATAATTCCTTTACAGTTATTGGACTATTATCAGGCTTGTGTTACATATTATCATCAAGGTTTCGATTTATGCAACGATTTTGATGTATTTTTCAAAAGTATTACTGAAGACTTAAATGCGTTACGCGGTGAATATCAACAACTAGAGAAGGCCATGCAAAATCGCCATATGAGTGTGAATAGTTTTAGTGAAACGAATACAAATAGTACTTCGAATAAAATCGAAGGATATTTATTCAAAAAGAAATCGAAAGGATTTAAAACTTGGTGTCGTCGATGGTTCTATTTAAGTGATAATCAACTAGTGTACAGGTACGTTCAAATATTAATAAAATTAAATTCAATGCTATGCTTACAATTCAACTTTAGAAAAATAGCATAGTTTTGATTTTAAATTATATAAAGTACACAATATGTTTAATTTTTAAGGCATGCTTAACTATAAAGTACAACGTAAATTAAGGCTAATGGTACATACATTAATGATTTTGTAAATTTCAAAATTTTTAATTTAGTTTTTTCCCTTTTTTTATTAATTTTTTTCAATAATTCTAAATTTTATTTTTTCTTCTTTTTTCATATGTTGTGTTCATTTTGTTGTTGTTGTTCTTGTGTAACAATTGTATGTAATTTTATTATTTTTCGTTTAAACTAAACTAATTTAATTTTGCGTCTCTTTTAATTAATCTTTTGTTGCTATATACGAAAACCAACAAATATTGTTGTTTTGTATGTTTTTTGTTTTGTTGAATTGAAAAAAATGTCTTGTTGTTGTGTTGTTGTTGTTGTTGTGTAACGCTCTGAAGTGATTTGGATTCGAATTGCAGAAAACGTAGCAACGAGGATTCATTTTCTGTGATGGAAGAAGATTTACGCATTTGCACTGTGCGACCAGTTAACGATGGTGATCGACGTTTCTGTTTTGAAGTCATATCGCCTACCAAGTACGTAAATAGCAAACATTTTTATTATTTACTTTATTTTAAATTATCGTTTCCCTACTTTTCAAAGATCTCACATTTTACAAGCTGACTCAGCTGATATGCTTACCATGTGGATTTCAGCTTTACAAAAAAGTATTGGTGCAGCTATACAACATGATTCACAACATTCCAGACCACAGTCGTCATTGCATGCAAATCCCTTGAATGCCAAAAGAAAAGTGTAAGCAACGAAATCGGTTTATACCATAGACTAGACTATAGACTAGACAATATACTAGACTATAGACTAGACTATAGACTAGACTATAGACTAGACTATAGACTATACTATAAACTAGACTATAGACTAGACTATAGACTAGACTATAGACTAGACTATAGACTAGACTATAGACTAGACTATAGACTAGACTATAGACTAGACTATAGACTAGACTATAGACTAGACTATAGACTAGACTATAGACTAGACTATAGACTAGACTATAGACTAGACTATAGACTAGACTATAGACTAGACTATAGACTAGACTATAGACTAGACTATAGACTAGACTAGACTAGACTATAGACTAGACTAGACTAGACTATAGACTAGACTATAGACTAGACTATAGACTAGACTATAGACTAGACTATAGACTAGACTATAGACTAGACTATAGACTAGACTATAGACTAGACTATAGACTAGACTATAGACTAGACTATAGACTAGACTATAGACTAGACTATAGACTAGACTATAGACTAGACTATAGACTAGACTATAGACTAGACTATAGACTAGACTATAGACTAGACTATAGACTAGACTATAGACTAGACTATAGACTAGACTATAGACTAGACTATAGACTAGACTATAGACTAGACTATAGACTAGACTATAGACCAGACTAGACTAGACTAGACTATAGACTAGACTAGACTAGACTAGACTAGACTATAGACTAGACTAGACTATAGACTATAGACTAGACTAGACTATAGACTAGACTATAGACTAGACTAGACTATAGACTAGACTAGACTAGACTAGACTATAGACTAGACTAGACTATAGACTAGACTATAGACTAGACTAGACTATAGACTAGACTATAGACTAGACTATAGACTAGACTATAGACTAGACTAGACTATAGACCAGACTATAGACTAGACTATAGACTAGACTATAGACTAGACTATAGACTAGACTATAGACTAGACTATAGACTAGACTATAGACTAGACTATAGACTAGACTATAGACTAGACTATAGACTAGACTAGACTATAGACTAGACTATAGACTAGACTATAGACTAGACTATAGACTAGACTAGACTAGACTAGACTATAGACTAGACTATAGACTAGACTATAGACTAGACTATAGACTAGACTATAGACTAGACTATAGACTAGACTATAGACTAGACTATAGACTAGACTATAGACTAGACTATAGACTAGACTATAGACTAGACTATAGACTAGACTATAGACTAGACTATAGACTAGACTATAGACTAGACTATAGACTAGACTATAGACTAGACTATAGACTAGACTATAGACTAGACTATAGACTAGACTATAGACTAGACTATAGACTAGACTATAGACTAGACTATAGACTAGACTAGACTATAGACTAGACTATAGACTAGACTATAGACTAGACTATAGACTAGACTATAGACTAGACTATAGACTAGACTATAGACTAGACCATAGACTAGACTATAGACTAGACTGTAGACTAGACTATAGACTAGACTATAGACTAGACTATAGACTAGACTATAGACTAGACTATAGACTAGATCCATGTTTTAACCTATTACTAATTTTTTTCGTGCAGACATTGGGAACAATTCCTTAAAATTCCTGGCAATGCACAGTGCTGTGATTGTCGCGGCGCTGATCCACGTTGGGCTTCCATTAATTTAGGCATAACTTTGTGTATAGAATGTTCAGGTGTTCATCGAAGTTTGGGCGTACACTACAGTAAAGTACGTTCTCTGACTCTAGATGCTTGGGAAACGGAAAATGTTAAAGTCATGATGGAATTGGGTAATGCCGTAGTCAATCGCATCTATGAATCACGTATTGGTGATAATTGTGAACTGAAACCGGCTACGGAAAATTGTGAAATATCGGTGAGGGAAGCATGGATAAAGGCAAAATATGTAGAGAAACGTTTTGTATGCGGTATGCCTAAACCAACCGACTATCTATCCAGTGAAACGGCCGAAGTTTTATCGATCGACAGTGGTGAATTAGGCAAAAGGGCGACACTGTCTTTGGGTGCTCCACGCAAATGGGCAGTTAAAAAGTTTAGACGTCGTCGTCATCGTGAACGTAAACGTCAACGTTCAAGTTCCAAATCATCCGATGATCCTGTCATAGACGAAGTTGATGATGACGATGATGACGAATCGATTAATATACCCTCTATGTCCTTAAGTATTTCACGAGAAGATCTTTTAATAGTGGGCGATGAATTAGGTTTAGAAACATATGAAACACCTGGTATCCTAGGATCAGATCAAGAATCTACTGAGGGAGAAAATGAACCAGAAGTTATACATGAAGTGCCCTTTTCAAAACTAAATGCGAATCTCATGTTGTATCAAGCATCAGCTGTACACAATTTACCAGTAATGTGTATGGCCTTTGCTTTAGGTGCCGATAAGAATTGGCGTAATGTAGAAGATCATAATCGTACTTACTTACATCAGGCAGTATTATCGGTAAGATCTGCTTTTTTTCCTTTATAACCTTTTACTTAATTTTTATTTTATTTTTCTACATTTTCAGGGTTCTGTTATGGCTTGTGAATATCTGCTATTGAATGGCGTACCGATTGATTCTGTAGACGATTTAGGTTATAGTGCTTTACACCTGTCCACTGGCAAAGGTTTCATAGCTCAAGTATATTTATTGCTTAAGCATAAAGCCAAATATGACATCGAAGCCAATGATGGTAAAAAACCATTAGATATTGCTGTTGACCAACGAAATGCTGATATTGTTACACTGTGAGTACTCGCAATTTATTTATTAATAGAGATTTCAGTATAGAATAGACTATAGACTACACTAGGCTGGACTAAACTATAGACTATAGATTAGACTATAGACTAGTCTATAGACTAGACTATAGACTAGACTATAGATTAGACTATAGACTAGACTATAGACTAGACTGTAGACTAGACTATAGACTAGACTATAGACTAGACTATAGACTAGACTATAGACTAGACTATAGACTAGACTATAGACTAGACTATAGACTAGACTATAGACTAGACTATAGACTAGACTATAGACTAGACTATAGACTAGACTATAGACTAGACTATAGACTAGACTATAGACTAGACTATAGACTAGACTATAGACTAGACTATAGACTAGACTATAGATTAGACTATAGACTAGACTATAGACTAGACTATAGACTAGACTATAGACTAGACTATAGACTAGACTATAGACTAGACTATAGACTAGACTATAGACTTGACTATAGACTTGACTATAGACTTGACTATAGACTTGACTATAGACTAGACTATAGACTTGACTATAGACTAGACTATAGACTAGACTATAGACTAGACTATAAACTAGACTATAGACTTGACTATAGACTTGACTATAGACTTGACTATAGACTAGACTATAGACTAGACTATAGTCTAGACTATAGACTATTTAATAACCGAGAATTTGTTATAACCGAATTTTTTATAAACTGATTTTTTGGCTGTATCTGTTTCGTTTTCCAAAATCAGCTCACATCGTTATCCCATAAAGATTCGCAGGCTTCCCCTGTTCCATATCATTAATTATATTACGTTATCTTTTTTGACCAACTCAATCAATTTATAGCGAAACAAATCATTCAATACTCCGGTATTTAGTAGTCTAGAAAGTAGAATAATGGTCAATTATAGCAAGAAAATCATCATAACGCATAGATTATCCATTGCTGCCAAATCATTTTGGTATTTTCTTATTCATTTAGGCTTAAGTTTAACTGAGTTTACTAACTAATAACAAAAGATAAAAAAAACATAAATAAATATTATTTACAGTTTACGTTTAACACGACTAAATGATGAAATTGGCCTTAACGATGAAGGCAATGGTGAAGATGAAACCTACAAGGATGTTATGAAAGATTTTTCTAATTTCACCTCCAGTCAACCACGTATGTTACGTAATCGCAACGATTCTAATACTTTAGAATCTCAACGTTCTTCCATGACCAATTCGGATTAAAAATCATACTCAAGAGAATTTAAAAAACTAAACAATAAAAAAGAGTAAATGTCATGTGTTTTTACAATGTAATCTATGTTATTTATATTTGTTATTTATATTAAAAACAACAACAAAAATATTAAGAAAAAACAAACACGAATTAAAATATCAGTCATTCTGTTATATAAAATTCATAAATATAAAATTAAGAAAACTATAAGATGTGGTGCTTTGAGAGCTAAATATCTTTTTATTATGTTAAAAATTGTGAATTATTATTATTATCATTATTTTTTAATTCATTCATTATTATTATTTATTATTAAAGCCAACGTGTAAGAAGAACTAGTAGTATTTTGTTTTGCTCAAAATTTACTTTACATTTGTCTGACTTTTTTTCTATTATTATTTAAGCATTTATTGTTATTTAAATGAAAAATGTTTATTAGAATTAAAATGTAACTGCTTTTTTAAAGTGTCTTTAAAAGTCGTTGTAATAATTTACTTGTAAACTTAAATATTGTGTTAAGGCTTTTTTATTATAAATATACTTATATAGACATAGGTAAATATTGTAACATATAAATAATGAATATGAACAGATGCACACCAACTAATTATCGTGAAAATTTATCAGGTTGAAAGGAAATCACGATCATTAGTCCTGCAGCAGGTGTTGTTATTATTTGCTAATTAAACAATTTGAATTTTTTGAATCGTATCGTGCTTATTTCACACTAAAGGCAAGTAAAATTTTGTTTTAAAAACAGCGCCTAAAAGTATGCTTTGCAAAAATTTATTAGTGTAAAAATAGCGCCATCTATTGTTTGGGCTAATGCTGTTTCATTTTGCAAAAAATCGAATTTTTCGTGGTGGCAGCACTGCCGCAAATTTTCTACCCCACTATGGAAAACGATCTGGCAACTCTATAAAAATCTAAGAAAAGTGAAGAGTTGCCAGATTGTTTTCCATAGTGGGGTTGAAAATTTGCGGCAGTGCTGCCACCCTGAAAAACTCGATTTTTTGCAAAATGAAACAGCATTAGTCCAAACAATAGATGGCGCTAATTTTACACGAATAAATTTTTGCATAGCATACTTTTAGGAGCTTTTAAAAAAACTTATCCCGTACATACACAAATGATTAGAAATCAGTGAATGCACAAAAATTAGAATTTTCTTTCATTAAAAACGTTTATTGCATTGAATTTATAGCTAAAACTAACTTAATTACAGTATTAATCTTAATAAAACACTTAATATCATATACATTTAACTATGTATGTGCTTACTTACGGTGTTTTTGCTTTCACCTCACCTTTAGAGGGTTTAAGATTTCCATGCGTGTTAATAATATGCCTTTTAACTGAGGAACGATCACCAAATGTACGATCACACTCACTGCACTGAAAAGCAACACCGCTGTGTGAGGCCAAATGACGGCTTAAACCGGATGCATGATTAAAGCGTTTGGGACATAAATGACAGGCATGTCGTTGTATGCGCGGCTCCTCCAAGTGTGTACGATTAATATGTTCGGTTAAGCTAATACGTTGAGCAAACGATCTATCGCATTGTGAACATTGGTGAGGCTTTATGCCCGTATGTGTTTGCATATGTCGTTTGAGAATCTCCCTTTGCACAAACGCTTTATCACAAATATTACAGGCAAACGGCTTCACTTCACAGTGTACGTACATGTGACGTCGTAGAGCACTGCTACATGAAACTACAATTTGACATTCTGGACACTGAAAATTAACACCACTTTTCCCAACTTTGCGATGAGTACGTAAATGACGCTCTAACGAAGGTTTGGTGGAAAACACCATCGGACAATCATCACATTTAAATGTTTTTGGTGTATCTGTACTGCGTTGAAATGGATTCACGTAGGTTTTCGTAAGAATTGTCTCTGTAGTTGATGTTGTAGTTCTAGTAACTGCTTTTTTACCCGGTGATTTTTTAGATTTACTTTTCAATTGCTTTTTAGCCTTGACATATTTCTGTAATAAGAAAGTAATTTAGCATATATATACAATATTAACATGAAATAAAGTTTCTACGAAACTAACCACTTCTTCAAACTGTCCTATATATTCACTATCCAAGCTTTCTTGAAAATCAATAACCATTATGTTTTCATTGCTTTGATCTGGATTTTCCTCGTCAATTTCATCATTTTCATTGGATTTGTGCAAAAACTGTATTTCTCCATTTTCGTTGTCTTCAACTGTAAGTGAGAGTTAATTTTTTAGTGAAATAGAATAAAAGCAAAAAGTAACATTCTAATAGAAGGTGTATTCTGTATGTTATTTTAGTGAAGGACAGTCGAATAGAAATGTAGAATATCAAAATTGCTACTTACTGCGATACGAAGTCGTTGTGGTATTCGTTTCCCCAGACTCCTCATTAGTGACCATATTTTCCTCATTGACTTTTTCATATGTTATTGTACTATTTGAATCAATATATTCATCATCTTCGTACTCTTCGCTAGCGACAACATTATTACCAGTGTATTCCTCTCTATCAACTAAAGGTTTTTTCTGAATATCAATGCCACCGTCGTCAGTGTCATAAATTAGAAAATTTCCCTCGCTATCACAATCATCATCATTCGTGTTCAGATCATGTTCACTTATAATTATTCCTTTCTCCACGTTCGTGTTATTCAAGTCCTCTTCCTCCTGTAGTTGCATTTGTACCTCTTCTACTTTAGGTGAATTTTGCACAATCAATTTTCTTTTTGCAGCCGGATCTTTGTTATTTGTTGGACTTAAAGGTCTTTTAATGGCTACAACATCTTTGGTAGTTGAATTAGGTTCCAATGATTTTTTCTTATTGTTGAGAAATGTCTGCAGATCATCTAATAGGCATTTGATTTCCACTTGTCTACATTCTTCCTGGACTTCAGCACGTAGCGCTTCTTTTGCTTCGTTTGTATATTGTTCGCTAATTTCTTTTCTTAAACTTTCTTCCAATTCATTTTCCACCTCTAGTCTTAATTCATTCTTTAGTTGTTCCCGTAATTCTGGTATTAATTCCTCTCGACAGTTCAATCTTAGATTTTCTTTAATTTTTTTCAAATCCTGTTCATTTTGCTGTTTAATTTCACTTATGACAGTATCAAATTTTAATTTTTCCATTTGTTTTTGGTTGTCCTCTTGTTCTTTGATAAATTCCATGGAATCTTGTAATTCTAACTCATCATCATCGTCGTCGTCTTCCGCTTTTTTGTTAAATACTTTACTCGTTTTGCCCATTCCTATGAGACGCAAATGTTTTCTTAGCTTGGCATCGGACGCTTGACTCTGCTTACGGAATAAATAAGATTTCTCCAATTGCAAACGGCAGTCAGGACATATTTTTGTTGGAAAATCTTCAGCATCTTGTACTTCAAGTGCCGCACAAGTCATTATACGCATTGGTATAGATAAAGCCGCGTATTTGTCGGAATTCTTTTCTTTGGGAAAAATGCAAACTGTTGCAGCATTTTCCTTTAAACACAAACGACACATTTTTTGTAAATTGGGATAGATTTTATTTTCCATTTTGACTTTATAGTTTTTTATTAGTTCCTTGTAATAATATTTTATATTGATCCCAAAAAATCACTTCAAAGTCGATAAATTAACATTATTATTGGCTACTCACAAAATTTTGTTGCAACAGTATCGGCAACAAGCACAAACAAAATTCGACAAGTAGTAGCTAAAATACAATACTGCGACCGACGACAAACTACTTTTTCATAATGTATGTATGAAAATAACTACAAAATATATAAAAACTGTAGTTGTAGCGTCTCGCGTTGTTTGTAATTAGAGAAGCAAAAAAAGCGTTCATTAATTTTTCATTGTGAATGTAATAGTTATTATTGTGATTGGTTATGCCAAAATACAGTGTTGCTGAGTTTATAATTACTTATGATATTTATGCATAATATAACTACATATCGTCCCTGTTTTGAATTTTAGTACTACATATGTAGATTTCTTCGAAATTTTGTTATTGTTGCAATTTGTGGCTCTACTGATTATACTTATCTGTACAAAGGCATTTATCGATATCTTTATATCGTCACCTTTCCATATCGTCACCTGAAGCGCAAACGGCCCTAACTAACCAAAAATTCAAAATCTATTATTCTAATGTATTGCAACGAAACAAATGGCCCTATCTACAAAAACATTTGAATATTGAAGGTAAAAAGTCCAAGTTATCCATTTTTATATACATATGTACGCCACTGTCAACCATGATAACACATGATAGGTTTCACTATTAAATAATTTGTTTATTTACTACAAATAAATCGCGTTGACAGAAACAAACTTTTCAATTTCAATAGTTTTTTGCTTCTCCTGTAAAATTTTAAAAATGTTAGATAGGTCCGTTTGCGTTTTAGATGACGATATAATGATTCTATCTTGATTTCTTGGAAGATACCTATTATTAATAATTAACAAATTTAATTAGAAGTTATTAAAGATCTATATTAAAATTTTTTGTTAATATTGTGCTTTAAAGGTAGTAGGCCTTCAGCTGGGCGGAAGGACTTTTCCCTTGGGTTGTACTCAATACCGTCTTCGCTACATGTGCATTTTTTGTAAACATATAAAATTTTGCCGTATTATATGTAAAATTTTAACTTTGAAGTCCTATAAACCGGAAACTAAGGAGCGGAAATAAATCTTTACACCTTCTTATTTAGAATAGCTAATTCTTTCCGACTATTAAAAAATATTCAAATATCAACTGAATCTGAGATCTTGATTTTAATCAAACATAGTATGAGTTTTGGGGAACAAACCTATATCGCCGTAAAGTTTGTATGGTGGTGACAACAATAAACAATAATTTTTCACATTTCTTACTCTCACTCTCGTGTAAAGGTTATATAAGATTGTCATTTGTTTGCAATTTTTCCAATATAATTTTCAGGCCTTATAAGATATCGGAATCGTATAAGTCAATTTTCTTAAAAGTTTTTCTTTTGTCGATTCAAAATTTTATATAGCTTCCATCCAAATTTAAATACTCCTCAAAAACGGGTTTATTGTTAATAATATATTCTTTGGTTAATAACTTCGTCTAGAATTTCAGTATTACCAAACAATTCTTGTTTGTTTTGCTATTGTTAAATGAATGTAGAGTTGGGAAAATGGAATAAATTCAAATTTTATAAAATTAACCTCTTTTTAATCACACTATGTTGAGCGAAATAAGTGTAGTTCACGAACGGTTAATGCTTAATCCGAAATATTTTGGGTAATATCATATTGCATAACGAATATATTTAAAAATCTGGGCTTTATATGCACCTACGTATTTCAATACAAATTAAAAAAAAAATAAATAAATAAAATGTATTTTTATTACGTATTTAACGAAGTGTGGCAAATTTCTGAAAATTAACAGTACTAAACTTTCCAAACAATTCCAAGGGATAATGACGATCCTCTACCGGTGCATGTATGCGTATTTGACGCATATGAGTATCGCGTCCATTCTGATGATTCGATATGACAGCTATCTGCAGCATAAACGTACGAATACACTTGACGCTTCCATCTTTTATGGGTATGGCTACCCAGCCAGTAGGTTCATGTAGATCTACTATTTGTAGTTCCTGCAAATCATTAAAATTCGAACCAGCTCTTATCGAAATGCGGGATGGTGTATAACTTTCGTCTAACTTATAGTCGGTGTATATGTAAATTTGGCTAATTTTTGTTTTGCTATGAAATTGTATATTGACTAAATGCGGCAGTTGTCCATCTGATTGCCAATAGGTATCCATAATATTGTCACGTAAACGCTCGACACCAAAACCGGGTTTGCATGATGACAAACTCCAAACGGCCAAATTCCCAACTTCCCTCACTAGACCTTGACGTTCTTCGTCTAGGGGGTCCTCTTTTGTTTCACTCTTTTCTTGTTCTTCATTATTGCCCTCCACTTTGATTTAATTAATGTAATTCAAATAATCTAATATTCTTAATATTGTTTTTACAACCGCTGAGTTGCAAAATTGTAAACAAAATATTTTCCTGTGGATTGAAAAAAAAAAAATAAATTATTCACAACAGATGTTCTGTCGCATACCACGGTCATTCACAATAATATAACGAAAATTGTTTTTATTGTGTTGCCAGACCAAAAATAGGGACATATTTTCGTTAAATTGGGACATTACTAAACATAAATACTTGGTAGTACTTAGAACTATATTA